GCGAGTGTTTTTCCATTGGCAAATAATAAAAATAATATATCTAGCTATAGAAAATATTTAAAATTTATTAATTGTTCGAACTTAAAATATCCGGTTTTGTTGGAGCAAATATATGTTTTTGAGAAATCAAATAGTATTTCCATTAATATATATGGCTATAAAGATATTGTTTTTCCATATTATATAAATAAGTTTAAATTCGGTAAAATTGCGAATTTACTATTATACCAAAATCATTATTTTTTAATTTGAAATTTCAACAGACTTTTACACGAAAAACAAAAGTCTCTTTATTACTATTGTAAAAATTGTTTAAATGGTTTTCAACGTGAATCGAGTTTAAATTTACATAGAGAAATATGTCAAAATTTCAAATTTCAGAGACTGTCGGTTCCTGCGGTCGAAAATTCCATTCTTAAATTTAATGAATTTCATAAGATGCTTAAGCATCCTGTTGTCATTTTTTGCGACTTTGAATGTTTAACAGAAACAGTTTCTAACGCGATGCAATCAACAGATACTAGTTTCAGTACTGTTACACAAATTCATACCAAGTTATAGCCGTGCGATATATATATTGAATACGGCGGGATAGTTTTAAACGAAGATTCGTCCTTCGATATAACTAAATCATACTTTTTTTTTCTCCACTGGCACATCATCGACTTTTGTTGCCGATTTGCGCTTTTCAGTTGTAAAGGGATTGTCGATTACAAACAATGACTGAGAATCTATTAAAAAAGATGAATAACTATAAAAAATAAATTAATTTTCTTATTTAAAAATCAAATCTAAATAAAAAAAAATCTAACTTACCGTCCATAGACATCTTTTCTTGCTTTAGTTGTAGAGAGAGTTGATAAATTCTTGNAGAGACTGTCGGTTCCTGCGGTCGAAAATTCCATTCTTAAATTTAATGAATTTCATAAGATGCTTAAGCATCCTGTTGTCATTTTTTGCGACTTTGTATGTTTAACAGAAACAGTTTCTAACGCGATGCAATCAACAGATACTAGTTTCAGTACTGTTACGCAAATTCATACCAAGTTATAGCCGTGCGATATATATATTGAATACGGCGGGATAGTTTTAAACGAAGATTCGTCCTTCGATATAGCTAAATCATACTTTTTTTTTCTCCACTGGCACATCATCGACTTTTGTTGCCGATTTGCGCTTTTCAGTTGTAAAGGGATTGTCGATTACAAACAATGACTGAGAATCTATTAAAAAAGATGAATAACNATAACTTTATTATTTTTCGTCTCCGGTCCAAAAGTAGGGTATCGTTGAAGTCGTCTCGGTCCCCTCAGTTCAGATAGATACTCAAAGTCCCGAAATTCCATAGGTGGTTATCTATATACAGTAATAATTTCCCTAATTGTATTAATATTTTAAATCTTTTGATTTTTTGTATGTTTTTTAATTGGTTGATGATTGATTCTATCAACTAATTTCTCGATTGTTTGATTGTATTAACTTGATTCTTTAGATATCGAAAATAAAATAAAGAACATTATGTTAATTTAAGCGTACAGAAACGTTGCTGTTGTTTCAGCAAAGATCTTATTTTACTTTACCGAGTGCCTAGTAGGTAATTTGCAGATTACCTAGATAATCCGCACATTACCTAGGTAATTTGAGAAATAGAATAATTTTCACAACTTTAACGGATCACGCTAGTTAATCTGCAGATTAACGAGTTTCCGAGCTTTAGCGGTAACATATATATAGCCTACACCTCCGATATCCAATACAGCTAGGTCACTTGCGTTACTCCCAGTGGCGTACCGTGGGTGTCAGCCGCCCGGGGCGGAGGAAAATTTCGGGCCCCCTTATTTAGGTATTTCAATTTAAAAGACCAAAATTCAATTTTGTCACAGAACAAGCAATGAAAAATTCCGTGTTAGTGCAGCGACCTGTTTAAAATAGTTCTATTGTATATTAGTGGTGTATATGAACGCGAATGAATCGTACAAGCAAAAAAAAAGGGTCAACAGGTTTCGCAGGATTTCCTCGGATGAAAAACTTACTAGTTTACCCGGACGGCGAGCCGATTCCCGGACTGTCCGGACGATAGCATTATCGTAGGCGCGATGCAAGTATAGATTAGGATGTTTCATATTTTTACAAGATATTATTATTATTTATTGTGAAATTTTGCCGCCCCTAAAAGGTAATTTTGTCGTCCCTAAAAAGTGCCGTCAGGGACGGGCCGCCCCTGCCGCCCCCACTACGGTACGCTACTGGTTACTCCTATCCAAGTCTCCCTAGTCGCTAACTCTAATTGATTTAGAACCAGCATGCACTGCACATTATTCTTCACATTGCAAAATGACATTACACATGCGTCAGGAACTTCTATTCGAACAAACCTCACCTGCCGTCCTGGTCAGTGATTTTAAAAAGGTGGCAACACTAGCACGGAATTTTTCATTACTTATTCTGTGACGAAACTGAATTTTAGTCTTTTAAATTGGGATACCTAAATATGGGGAACGAAATTTTTTTCCGCTCCGGGCGGGTGACACCCACGCTACGCCACTGCGCGGTGACGTCATGAAATCGCTAGGTGTATGGCGCACTTCCGATGTACTCCCATTGTGAGGAAGTTTGACATTTTGCTATTTTTCCTGAAGTGTGATTTGTGATTCCATTTCACGCCGAATATCGAAATAAGAGTACTAGGATTTTTATCGCCCTTGCTATCGTCATTATTATGTTTTTATCACTGCACTTTAATAAAAATATTGCCAAGTAGCGATTTTGGCGCTATGTAGCGCAAAACTTGAATAGTATGCTATACATGTATTCCTTTCCAAACGAGGTTTCAGTACCTCAATTAAACTAAAGATCGTTTCACTCGATATTCAAGAGTATTCGATTAATTCCGTTAACAAAATGTCTTCGATCGGCAGACGAAATAAACGATAAATTAATTTGTCGATCGAGAAAGTTAAATATTCATCGACCAGCTTGAATTATCTTGACTTATGACAACCCATTCAATGTCGTAGTATAACGACGCCTATTTACGACTTTTTCAATTACGACAAGTTTTGTGAATATCAAATTTTATCTTAGCGCAACCTATGACGTAGCGTCGTGGGGGCGGCAGGGGCGGCCCGCCCCGGGCGGCACTTTTTAGGGAGCGGTAAAATTTCACAATAAATAATAATAATATATTGTAAAAATTTGAATCATTTTATTTCATATTTCCGTAGCACCTACGATTCGGACCGANAATTTTTTTTGCAGACCTGTGTTACTGTTATAATAATGTTTATTATTTCAAAGGTGGTCTTATAATTATGTGACAGACCTTATAGTATCTAATGTATTTGTTAACAGAAAATAAAATTAAGACAATCTCCAACTTCTACAGAATATCCAAAACCCATTTTATTGGAGAACCAACACTTATGTTTGGCTCTTGTTCATTTATTAAATTAAGTGTTAGTTTGCCAATATATCTTATTTTGGACATTATGCATAATATATCATATACAACAAAAATAACAGACTATAGTTATTACCTATATTATAATTTTACAGACTATCAGTTTAAATCAGATTTTTAAGAAAAATACTTACATAACTCAGCATTACAGTTAGTTTTGAATCAGGAGTGTAACCCAGAGAAATGAGGGTACCTTTTCTACACCAGTAACCATAATTATCTTTATTCTTTTCTTTTAAACTTACTCTGACTTCATTCATATGTGATTGAATATTTGTCTGACAAGAAGGTGGTTTTCTGAAAATATTTAAGTAAATATTTTAGTCATCAGAAATCAGTCAAAAATTAATTCTGATAAAATTTGTAAAATTTCTTTAATGAAATTAGTTTTGCAAATTAAAGAAATTAATCTTCAATTGTTAATTTATGAATAATAGTATAATTTAATACTTTGTCTGTGGTAATAAACGTGAAGATCCTCGAAGAGTCAGGCAAACATCAGTATATGTTTCACATTTTTGTTCTGATTCACAACGAGACAAATTGTGCCTCTCGGGCAGAGTTACAGCAACATTTAGTTGTTCATCAGCTGCTTTACCTAACATCAAAGTTTAAAAACTTTGCATTCAAAATAATATGAAGACAGTCATATAAAATAAGTTTATACTTAAAATAACAATTTAAATACATTAAACATCTCAAATATTAATAAAATATAAGTAACAAAACAATACACATACTTATGTAGTTTTTAGCATTTATAGAAATAATATCTTATACTTTCTATACAAAAGTTTCTTATTTATTTATTAAATAGGAAAATTAAAAGAAAACAATTTTATTCTAATTTTAACAATATATACCATATTTATTCAAATATAAGCAATCTTGCATATAGGACGAGGTGTGACTTTAAAGATCAAAATAAAGAAAATTAGATTTATTAATACAATTCTAATTTTATTTCGTTTAATAACAAATAAAATATCAAATGCATGTAAATGCACACATTGTCCCGCAAAAATTACTGGCATTTTAAACTTCAAAGAAAAATCTTGTAAAATCGACAACATAATTTGTTCATGTAAAGCTGGACAATCAGGAATCTTTTTTGCCAATTCTTAACAGTAGAATTCACTCTTTGTTGATTACAACCAAACAGTGCATCAGACTAGGGTATCCATGTCTGGTTGCTATCTTCTTGATATGAGCTAACTCGGTGGCTAGGGCTTGCGAGGTGGATGAGTGGGAAAAGGCCCTTTTAACCAGAACATTGAATGCTGCAATCTTGTACGAGAAATGGGTTCTTGCGACCATTCTCTTACAAGACTGCAGCATTCAATGAATGTTATCATCAGGAGTTCTTTCTGCACAACAATGCTCATCCTCATACTGCAGTACAGACATAGGAACTCTTCCAAAAATATAAATAGAAAATGTTTAATCATTGTTATATAGTCCAGACTTATTACAGAATGATTTCCATCTACTCAATCAGATGAAGTGATGGTTAGGAGACGTAATGAGGAGTTGAAGGCCAGCATAAAGGTTTGGCTGAGTAACCAGATAGCAACCTTCTTTAATGAAGTGTTGAAAAGCTGATGCCATGATATGACAAATGCCTAAATCAAAATTATAATTATGTAGAAAAGAAGCTGAAAAGTATCTACCTTTTGTAAATAAAATAGTTTTGATTTTTATCTCATTTTTTCCTGGCACAATGAAAGTTAAAAAAAACCCCTTGTACAAAGTTGCTTATATAGGTAGTTAGAAGTATTAATGTGAGATTTGCCATTTGGGTGGAAAGCATCACGACAGTCAAGTGATAAGAACAGTCGTGTGCATGTGGAAAGATCACCGAGACAGGTTTACCCTTTGAAACCATTTAATAGATATATAAATTGTCTTACACTATCTTATAATGAGGCGTAATGCCTATTCAACAGAGGGAAACAAGTCCTTTCAAAAGATAAAAGTCCAAATGTCCTGATGGTTGTTTAGGTTCATCCAGCATAGGTGAAATGGAGAGCGACAGCCCCAGGCACACAGCACAACTCGCAGCAATGATCTCCAATGACTCAGAGCACCTGGGCAGATCTTGAAGAGATCTGCCCAGGTGCTCTGAGTCATTGGACAAAACGAATCCTGGGATGTCAAACTAGCCTTTGCTGTAGGAGGACAGTAGCGCAAACTTCCAGGAGAGGATCGCTGTGAACCAAGAACCTCCCATTCTTGAAACGCACAGTTTTATAAGTTTTTCCCTTAAAGCCGCCTATTCGTTCGTCCCAACTCATCACCTGGTGACAATTCGAAACCAATTGGAGAGTGCAGGAGAGGTCAGTTTCATGAGTAAATGACTCCTCTCCAGCCATTTTTCCCTCAACTTTAGTCTTTTCTATTGTTTACATAATTAAAAAAAACTTCCAATGTTTAATTGAGATTTTTAATTACTTGATTGATAGTCTCCATTCCGACCTCCACACTGACCCCCCTCTGGGTCCTCACATTAATTAATCTTTAAATAAGTTTAGAGGTTGTTTGAACTGTCAAATGATGTGACAGTGAGTGTGTCAGACATATAAGACTGATATTTACATCTATTTGGTTAATCATATTTTCTTTGCATATTCAAAAAGTAGGAAGGACAAAAGAATAAATGAAAAATATTTGTCAAAAAATAAACTTCTTAAACTTCTAAATCAATGTTCCATAAAACTTTCTTACCGATTAATTGATTTTTAGATAGAAATCATCAAAAAAAGAAAAAAAATAGTAATTACGATTTTGTAAGTATTTTTTAGTTCTACTTATCCAATAGCAGCACAATGTGAGACTTCATTGGTTCACATTGTTTTGATTTTATTTAGCTTACAAACTGACATGTGCATCAACTCCATATTCTCATATTATAAATCTAAATATATAATCTCATAATTTGGGACTCATTTACTAATTATTAGAAAATTTTTTCAAAGTATCTTTGCTCTATCTTCAGTCTGTTTGAAATTGTAATTCTATTTAATGTGTTAGAATTTTTATATATATCATATCATATTTTATTTATTTTTGAAACTATTTTCATAACCAACAAAATATTTTAATTTTATTAAAAACAAATATATAAAGAACATGTTTATTTCAGGATTTTAGGCTACTCTTCCCTAAGAGTAGCCTAAAAAGGAAGGTCGACTCCGCCGTAAAAACAGTTAGTTCCTGAAGTGTGAAAAGGACGTTAAGATTTAAAAGACACTTTTGTGATTACTTCTACATATTTTATATTGTAATGTATGAATTTTGTCTTGGTATGTTTTAATTATATTTTTTTAATTGTAAAAAAACAAATATTTATCATAATCTCCAAGGGCTCATAATGTGCAGTTTGTATACTCTGTTCTAGATATAAGTTATCAATTTTCATAAATCTAACAGTATCTCTTGTTTATTTTTATAAATCTCCAGAAGTTTGTAAACCATAATTTAAAAATTGTTATCATAAATCATTACTCTTTTAAAAATTACACTAATAAATAAGGATAAAACAATTTTTACTGACCTGATATTCCCAGTTGATGTCCCTGGACTATCATATTTAAGATTGTAGCAGGATAGTTTTTTGAGTTAACATTTAAATGAAGAGGAACAGAAATCGAGACAGTGATATTTACTGGAGTATCTGTTATATCTTCATTTTCATATTGGCCTGCAATATCGGGTAAAAGGGCTCCCATACTCTTACTACGATCAACAGTTTTTGCATTTGAAGAAAGAAGCACAAATGGCTGAGTGAGATTTGTATCATTTCGAATGAGTGAAAAATCAGTCGTCGTCTGTATCGAAGGTAATTTATTATTAATTACTATTTCGGAATGTTGAGCACATAATTCAAGTTCTGTCAATCGTTCCATGAACACATTCCAATCCTGAAATAAACATGTTCTTTATATATTTATTTTTAATAAAATTTAATAAAATAAAAATTTAAAGATAATTTAACAAATCATTTTCTTTGAAGAAAAGCTTTATAGCATGAAATTATACTTCAATGCATAATATAATGATAATCATGTACTTTGAATCAATTATGGTGTATAGATAACGAAAACCAACAAAAACAAACATTTTCAAACTCCTTCTGAGCTCTTCAAGTTTTTTAACAATTCCTTGATGGTTCTTTGTTTTGGAATAAAATTCAAAGTTTGATTATAAGTTCGAAAAAATTAAGCCACATCATGCCTGTGCAAAGAGTCACCCTACTGGGACTCAACGAATGGCTAAACCATGTCAATCAACTCTTGACACGCCATTGACAAAACCATTTCCTCTTTATAATTTATGCATGTAGACGTTAAACTGGATTTAAAAATGTGCACAGCCTCCAACCATCTTAGGTGTTCCATGGGGGCATAGAAGGATGAGCTTGGTCCAGTTAAAGTCTGCTACAATGTTCAGATCTCTTGCATACGTAGCGAGGGCTGTGGTGGTTCTTACATGACCTATATCGGCCAGATGTTCTTGTAATCTGATCTTCATGGAATATTTAGTTGACCCTATGTACCAGGTCTATCATATCTGTTGTCCCTCATGGCGACGCTATAGCTGTATATGCTGGGGAGTCTGTTTGGGTTGGGAGGGTCCTTCCCATTATGTAGCATGTCAAAAATAGTCAGGCACCTCCTGTAAGTGAGATACACCTGGCATTTCCTGGCAACTTTGGCACATAAGGATCTTAAGCATGGGTTAAACGTGATGGATACCCGTTCTATGTCATCAGATTGGTTATCGCTTGGCAGGTCAACTCCAGAGGTGTGTCCTGAGTGCATTCACTGATAACATTCTATCAGCCCATGTGTGACTTTGCAATAACTGTGTGCTGTGACTACACACTATAAATGCTAGTTCAGCATCAAGAGCCTGGGGATTCAAAGAATGAGTAAAGGCTCTTCTGATTAAGGCCTTGTACATTGCAATCTTGTAAGAGAATGGATCACATGGCCCACCAGTATGTACAAGACATGGATCCCAGTTTAAGATAAATCAAAGTGTGGAAACCAGACCCCTCCACTCTAACATTTATATCCAAGAAGTGCACCTCTGAGGGGTTAGATTGTTCTACTTCCAAGATCAACCCATAGGGATTATTTTTGAAAGTATTGACAAATGCCATCAAATCCGGAACTGTCTTCCAAAAAAGAATGATGTCATCAATATACCTCCTATATAACAGGATGTTGAGGAGGAACTGAAGAAGGACCTTGTTCTCCAACTGTTCGGATCACCATTTCACAAAGCCCCGTGATACAGGGCTGCCCATGGGAACCCCTTTTCTTCAAGTGTATATATCACTGTTGAACTTGAAAACCAAATTATAACAAATTAAGTGTGCCATCTCCAGCACAAGGTGGTGTAATGAGTCCTCTTCGACAATATGAAATGGGCTACTCTGAGTGCACAAAAGGAGGGAGGAAACTCAATAGAGGGGTAGCAAGACTTAAAGTCCAACACTGTGATGTACTGGGGGTGACCTCTTTCAATTGTGTTATGACCTCCACTGGGCTGGCGACGGTGTAAGGATGGTCCAGGTGGGGAGTGAGAAGAGTATGCATGGCCTTCAGTCTACAGGTAGGTGCTCTTGCTTTGTCTACCACCAGATGGAGTTGTTGCCCTAGCTGATAGGTCTTTGCAAAGGCAAACAATCTAAGGACATCAGGGGATCAACAACTAAGTTATCAAGGGCAAGGTGCCTAGCTAGTTCGGTACTGGCAAAACACTTAACTCTGGAATGCAGTTTATTGATAAACCCATCCATCCTCCACCCTATCACAATGGGTTAGTTGAATGTATTCATAGGCCTCGTTTGTATGTGTCGTGCTTCATGAGAACCATAGCTTTGGTTTTGTAACTTGTTCAGTTGCATACAACAAACAGTATGATGTAGCTTGTCCCTCAGTTCCACCACTTTTAAAAGAACTCAGCTTCTACTGTACTATTTTAGATGCAGTATTTTGCGTTTTTGCAGGAAATCAATAGACCCATTTTTTTTAGACCCATCTAAAAATTCTCTAATTAGTCTTGGAAAAGGGAAGAACCTAATTCTTAAACCTGGTGAAAATGGGTAAGATTGACTATAATCTAATAATCTTAATCTTTGTTATTGTTACTTTTTTCCTGAGCAACATCTGCTCATCTACTAGTATTTTTTATAAAACTCGTCTCTACCCTCAAAATTAAGCTAGAGTTCTAATATGAGTACAGACAGAAAAGGAAATCTTACAAAAATTAAAAATGATTTTTGCTATGCACTGGAAAAAATAGCTCACATTGACCACTCTTCAAGTTTGGATGTTAAAATGGTAACATTGCACTATCCAGATATTATCCAAGATACAGCATTGACTGTCACAGCATTACCACCAACCAAGTTTCAGTAGAGCGTTTATTTTCCGCTCTTAAAATTATTAAATATGATTTAAGAGCTTTGGTGAATGCTGACTTAATAGAAGCGATTCTTTTTGTAAGGAGTAATTCAGTTGATAACAGAGATGAAAAATAATAAATGAATCAATGTGGCAAAATAAGCAACCTTTTTCTTTACCAGTCTAAATGTTATATTTCTCATTCTTGACTTAGTTTAATGTATCTGTATACTTATATGTTACCCAATATACTTGTATGTTATGTATAACATTTTTATTAAGCTAATATATTTGTGTATGAATGTATTTGCTATTTTCATTCATACATGCTTACCAAATACCATTGCCATCATCAAGCAAGTCAATAAATGTGAATTTTTTATATTCAGTAGATCTGACAAATTTTAATGTTTAATTAATTTTTAAATTGTTTTATTTTGTATTTTTAAAAAAGTAACCAGAATCATTGTCATTATTATTTTTCCGACTGTTATATAGTATAGGCCCATAACAAAGGAAAAAATGACAGTCGGTCAAAAATTGACTTTTCCAGATTTTTACTCTTTTGGACTCAGGAAGCCTCAAAACGTAGAGAAGTGCAAAAACATTTGGTTTTTTCTGTATGCACAGATGTTAGAATGTGTATCAAACGATTTAGTTCAAACATTTTGAAGCTTAATAACTCCTGTGTTAAACCATTTGACTCTGATTCAAAATCATGCCCTCCAAACACAGTCTAACATCCATACATACAGAAAAAACCCTGAATCTTTTGCATATTTTGACATTTTGAGGTGTCTTAAGTCCAAAAAATGTAAAACTTTGGGGTGGGGTCATTTTTTGACCAATTGCTACGCTTTTCCACTGTTATATATATGTAGGCTGTTTTTTTTTCAACTTCTGATAGTCCATAAAAAAAGACAAGAGTAAATAACAAAATGAATTTATTACCAAAAGTTAAATACAAACATGGTTACTATTTTAAATAATCACAGTGAATATTGAGCCACTTTTTTTGTTCAGGAAAGAGATGGAAGTCACTCGGCGACAAATTGGGATTGCACACTGGGTATTTAAATGTGGTGAAGACTTCCATTTTTCAGACTTCCACCCAGCTTGGAACTTTTTAATGTGTGAAGACTTCCACCTCTTTCCAGAACTGAAAACATGGCTAGGAGAGCTGAGGTTTAAGACAAATGATGATCTTAAAAACAATGCCATTAAAGCCATCTCCATTCACAGGTGGCAACATTCTATGAAGAGGGAATGGAAAAGCTCATCCATGGATATGGCAAATGCCTTAACCCTTTGCTTCCGAAAGTACTGATCAATCGTTACCCCTCAAAACTACGAGGGTAATAATTCATCGTTATCATAGTAAAAATTGATTTTTATAAAATTTATCGACAACAGATGTCAGCACTTGACGGCATTGTCTTGTCTATCATCTGTTTTACATATTTTTCTCCAGGTGGTGTTTTGACTTAAAAAGTTTTAATTAATGCTTTTTTTTCTTGATTCATTTTTTTCTGATAATTTTTTATTTAATTTTTAGCATATTCATGAAATAATATTACTATAATAAATTCATTTATGCTATAATAAGTCAATCTGTTATAAATACTCAAGTTATGTCATTCAGTTCTGACCAGGGCTGTGGAGTCAGAGTTGTGGAGTTTTGGTGTTTTAGCCAGAGTCGGAGTCGTCAAAAACTCCGCCAACTCCGACTCCTTTTTACTTACCAACTTGTTATGTATATAAAACAGAAAAGTATTGGAATCGTATCAAATTTGACCCTCCAAGTTTTTTTTTTTTTTTATAAATCTACACGTTTGGAGACCTCCCGAACCCCTCAAAAAAGTCAATAAAAGGGAATTTTTCCCCTTTTATTGACTTGTGTGTGTGTGTGTTGGTGTCTAATTTGTTTAATTTCTTTATTTTCTGTTCTGAGATATTAAACAATATCTCAAAACAGGTAAAGTTTAAGAAACAAAATGTGGCACTGTAACTTGCATATAAAGGGGCATTAATACTATTAAATTTTGGTTCTTAATTAAAGGTCGACAGGGTGAAGACATAAAAGTGGTCACGTGTCATATCTCTTAATGAATATTTTACTCGTTATTAGCATTCAAAATTTAAAAAAATAAAATAAAACTCGTCTCTATCCTCAAAGTAAGCTTTTTTGTCATTTTATAATAGTACAGTAAAACCGTTAAGATGTTCTTGCCTAAGATGTTAGAATGTGTATGGAGACACGATTTAATTCAACCACTTTGACGCTTAATAACTAACTCCTGTGTTAAACCATCTGACTCTGATTCTGACCACTCTGACCACAGAAATTATTAGGCTTCAAACAGGATGAACAAAATCATGTCCCCCCACACAGTCTAACATACACACATATAGAAAAACCTTGAATCTTTTGCTTAATTAACTCGAAATTTCAAGGTGTTCTGAGTCCAAAAATGTAAAAATTTGGGAGGGGTCATTTTTTTGACCGAGTGCTACACTTTGTTATAT